GAGCTAAAAAATACAAAATACAAAATAACACAGAAATAACAAACATATAAACACATTTTTATAAATTATTGTAATCTTCTAAAAAGTGTGAAAAACAATTACACTTAGCAAAATATTATTTCCCCTTTGAAGTTTGGCATTCTTTGAGAAAATCTTATCTCCTATTTTATGACAAAAATTAGCTATCATGCCAAATGCCAAGTGCCAATGTCTCGGCTTGGCACAGAATCACAAGCCACCACACAGCTTTGTAGGTTCAAACAGCAATTCTTTATTCCCGATCTCACACCAGCCTCCACACACGTTCAGGGGCAATCCCAATATGTCCGATTCCAAATCCTACTCCACGAGGCTTTTTCCAAATCCCATTTTAATCTCAGGAGAACTCAACAAGCCGCAGGAACACCCTAATCCCAGCAGCAATAATCTTCAACCTCAACTTCCCTAAAACCCATATTCTTAAACCGGGAAACGCCTTAAACCCAAGGACCGGGATACTTCCTCAAACCTGCAGGATACTTCCTCAAACCTGGATCCACCCTCGATCACCTTGAGCAGGGTCATCTTACTAAAGCACACAAGCAAGGTCGCAGCAAATTTCCAAGGCAAGTCCATTTAACATGGGGTACACTGGCAAGGATTACGATGCGTCATACCTACTTGGTAATGGCCCTCAGCACTATCACATTTATATTTGTATGTAAATATTGCACTTTTACTTGTAATTGCATATAAAGTCTTTTAATTGAAACACTTAAATAACTAGTAAGATTCTCACGATCTTCAATGCCAAAGATATTTTTTTCATTGAAGGAATATTCATGAATCACCAGCGTTTTTCAAGCCATCGTTCTATAGACTTTGACTACATAAAAGTGAAAATAGGAAAGTCCTTTCCTAATAGAGGAGCCATTGCTAAAAGCTGCTGCTTAAAAAAATAAAAAAAAAAATAAATGAATATAAGAAAATAGGAAATAAAACAATTGACAATAGTTGAATGTTGGTGAATTAAAAAGAAAGAAGGCACAGACTGTGTAGAAGAAATCTTATTTTATATAACTCAGTCAAGAAATACCTCTTTGGTAGTATGGAATTTAAACAAATATAAAAGAAATCAAAGGACATAAATTCTGAAAGAAGGATGTTTTAGGCCATGAAATGAACAGAGCTCAATTGAGACATACTTAGAACTTTGGGTCTATAAAAATAAGACCACTAATTCTAGAAATAGTGGAATGAGCACAGATCACACGAAAAAGGCAAGAGATGGCTTGGATCTTCATAAAACTTTAGATTCTATTCAGAATAGCACAGGAAGCCATGTAGGGGCTAGACCAGGAGTGTGACACCATTGTCTCATATTTTTTAATTACCATGGTTCTGTGAAGGAGAAATCTTTCCAGTACAGAAGCTGGAGAATTATTAAAAGATATTTGCTTTTAAAATCCAAGTGAAGAACCGTGGTGGATTTAATTCAATATAAAGCTGCAGAAACTTTGAGTATGTTTTGTTTGCATACCTATTTAATGGTAATGCTAATGGAATATGCTCATTGTTAGATAGTGGTATGAAATAAAGCAAGAATCAGAAACAACATAAAGGTCAAAATACCCTACATGATTCTCCTCTACAGAGCACAACCATATTAATATTGAAAATCACTTATCCTGACATGTTGAGACTTACTGACATATAGGCTGAGTACATTCTGTTATATTTGTCAGAGATAATTACCATCAAAAAGACAATTCAGGGAATAGTCGGAGAAGGGCAATAGCTGGGTCAAATGGTGGTTCCATTCCCAGCTTTCCCAGGAATCTCCATACTGCTTTCCAAATTGGCCGCA